ATATATATATATATATATATATATATATATATATATATATATATATATATATATATATATATATATATATATATATATATATATTACTGTTGTTGTATTCCGTTGTATTGCATACTATTTCATTCTTGTTAACTGAAATTTTGAAAATATTTCGAACCTTTTTAGAAACAATTCAGAAATAAATATATTTCGCTTACACTTGAAAAGGAAAAACTTCACATCTAAGTTAAATGCTTATTATAATCGTTGTTTATTAAACGTTACAAAGCCATATGGAAAAGTTATCATGATTTGATGTAAGTTTTAATTCTATTCAACCTATTAAACCTATTAAACATGATCATACCTATTAAACATGATCCCGTAATATTACAAAGTTGTTGATACTTACTTATTTACTTTAAATATAGAAAAAAGTATCTCTAAAAAGATAAAATAACAGATCTATAAAAAAAGAAACTGCAAATATCAACCTTAGAAGCATATGAACCCCGAAGTGTCACCTCCTAAGTCTTCAATTCTGAACTTGCTAAGGTCATGAATCTATGATGTATCCATAAGCTTTTTTCCTGCAGTTTGGTCTAAGAAAAAAAAGAAAAAGAGAAAGATTATCGATAGTTTTCCAGAAATTTTAGTTTCCGGGACCATCCGGAATAAGCTTAATTTTCGAGGAGTTTCTTATCGAACCAACATGTTACGCTCATTTTTCAATATTACTTTTCTTTATTTCAACTTTTTTCTATTATTAATTACAACGAATGAGTGTAAAAAAATTCAGCACAATTTGAAATTGCAATTAAAATCTTACTCGCCCTTAATCTGAATTCAACAAATACGTTTAAATGCTAAATCCTTAAGCATACTATAAGGAAATGATCATACCATGAATGGAAAATTCAATTAACATTTACATACATGTCACAGATATAATTCTAACTTTTGTAAAATATTGATTTTGCATACAAAATTTAAAGAAATTCATGCCATGACATGCAGCACCAAAGTGACCCTTTTTATCGACTGCAACAATTGCGCCCATAAAATTAGGATATTTGCGAGAAATGGTACGGATTGTTATTTCGGCAGCCTTTGCCGGCGTTTTACCTTCACGTATATAGTGAACTGTTTGATAGCTGCAATACACTTTTTCAAATTTGTATTGCGATTAGAAAAAATAAACAAAGTCAGATAGTAAATTAAATCATTAGCTGTAAAATATTTCAGCTAATTAACAATAATCAAGAAATGACTATTAACTGAACTGGAAATTAAATGAAATGACGAAGTAAAACTACCAAATATCCAAAAAAAGACAAAAAAAAAACCTGGAAGCAAATCTCATCATGATGTCACCATCACCGGTACTTACCGCGCCACCGATATCATTGTCGGCATACGCACCAGCACCTGGTATGGGTGAATCACCAATCCGTCTGAAATTAAGTTGAAAAAAGGAAACCAAAATGAAATTCCGGATTTTCTATTAATACTTTAATTTTTTAGTTATAAAATGTAACAAAATTTCCGGTTTATCGACGTCAGGCAGTACGCGCCAATAAATCAATCTAATTAATATATAAGATGAAATAGAACTGCTAAGAGTCTAAACTAACTAATCATTATTTAATATTCGTTACGATTACTTGAAGTCATGTTCCTGGAAGCTTTAGCCTTCCATTTTCGATCTCCGACTGGACACTAGGAAAAATATGATCAACATAGATGCAAATTTTAAATTCAAAAAATTCCAACTTCATGTGAAATTAGAATTTTTAAATCTGGTTTCTTCTTTCTAACAACCGTCAAAATAAACATTTATATTTGAATATTTACCCGGGAACTTTATGATTAGCACCATTGCTTGATGTACCAACGGCAATATTACCTTCATAATCAATAACAACCATACCAATTGTATCATGATTACGGCGACTACCCTGAAGAGAAAAATTTTTTATGATTATTTAAAAGTTTTAGCGATTAGCTGAATCTCGAAATTTGACTTGTATAATTTAATCTTATAAATTCTTTTCTTAACATGAAATTCAATCCAGAAATTATGTCACGATATGAGAACAGTAATAACTTAGCGCGTCGAAACAAGAGCCAAAATATAAAATTCATGAACTCAAGAAGGTAAGAATGCATTACAAGTTCTTAAAATCGAAACGACAGAAAAATAAACCAGCGGAGAAATGTACCGAACCGTTTTCGCGGTTAGACTCTTTCGGAAGATTAATGATAGCAATGTTAGGTTAGTAATACCTATATTATACCAACATTAAGTTGCACCTATTTCTGCACAACCGGATAAACCTCGATATCCGGATAATTTGATTTCAAAAAGATAAAGCATTTAGAGAAAAACTTTACCTGTGAATGGCTGAACATGAATCTATCTTCATCATTTGCAGGTTTGTATGGACCACAAAATTTGTTCGGATCCGGTAATACATTCTAAAATTGGTGCAAATGACAAATTTACCTTAACCACAAATTTCAGTTTCTATAAAATAGACAAATCTATCTAAAGAGTGAAAAAACCAAATTAAAATCAAAATTCGGAATCTAAGTCGCAAACTTAAAATAAAATTTAACTACCTAAAATTTGATAACAAAATGAACTTTTCTATAGTTTGGCTGACAGTTTTGTTTAATCCATTTCTGATGTGCAGCATATGAGCTATTGGTGTATAATGATTCGCGTTTAAAGCCCATTTCAACAGCAAAATTGGCTGCTAAACTGAAGAATAAGTTTATCTATTACCTTGAAATTCAAATTTAGCAATTTGAGCTTCGACGTAATAAATAGCAATAATATTTGCAAATAGTAATAATAACAGTAATAATAATAAATCATGAAACGAGTGGGTTATCTGAGAGATTGTGTAGCGTATCAAGTTATATAGTTTACTAGATGGATTAGTAAATTGAAAAGTTGAAACTTATGTTATTAAAAAGTAAATAAACGCATATTAATTTATAGCATCATTACCATCCAAAAGATGGCAATAATGCGAACAGTTAAATTAGCATGTTTAATCTATTCATTTACTGTAATCTATTCGATTAAGTTAGGGGATATATAAAGGAAGTTTAAAGGTTTCTTAAATTTCATTTAATTCTCAGAACAAATAGTGATTGGAAAATTTCTTACACAACAAAAAATTTGTTGAAAAAAAATTTCTTCATGGAAGTATGCAAATCCTGATCCGTGATATATTGATTGCTTTATTTTAACAATTCATTAAATCAAATTTATTTGTAAAGAAAAGGTAAAAGTAAATATACCATAGTCACCGACCAATATTGAATGCTTCGTATATTTCATTACTGCATATGCTACACGCGCTGCATTCTTCACATTTGGTAGTGAACCAACAGCGCCCATTTCATGATTCAAGCTAAAAATCTTTTTTATTTCTTAATTTTTTTAAAAAAGGAAAAAAACTAAATAAGGATATAAAAATATAGAAGGGCGTAGAAAAAAAAAGGATATAAATAAAGAGATAGAAAATATACGTGATTACAAAGTGAAATTGAATTTTGATGAATCGCGGAAATTTAATGAGTTAATCAATCCTTCAAAGACAGATTTAGCTATGATTAAGTAAGTTTATCAAAATGAGACGAGAAATATTTATGAATGTTTCAAATATGCCCAAAAATACTTTAGATTAAAAATCTATAGGGTTGAAATCACTGATAATATAAATTAGTTTGAAATATTCATGTGAAAAGGAATACGTTTAACAAGATAATTCCGGTATTTTCCTTAATTTTTTTTGGCGCAATTATTTAACTAAATTTCATAAATTTAAAGTAAAATAAGGTTTTTAAAAGAAAGAAAAATGAAAAATACCCATCATAAATGAGTGCATCAAGTCGAGTTTCACCCGTTTCATCCGGTGAACCACCGAATCCAACAGTTCCATCACACTGTAATTGTTCACACTCCGTTAAACCATCCAGTAATGATTCTATCCTATCATACGTCTTCGTTAGCGTCAAGAATGCTGTAAATAATAGTTTATCATTAATTGCTTCTTTGATGAACACAAATTTTCCTGTCAGTTTGTAAAAAAACTTGTGGGTACACCAATTTAAAAGTATATTCTTTTAGGAAAGAAAACATCGAAGTATTAACACACCCGGTATACTATTTGACATAAATACAGGAAAAATATACATATGTATGTTACTGAGTAACCGGATAATGACTGTTATGAAATACGAATCCATGCATAATCTAGGAACACATAATTTATATTCATCAAACCTTTTGTGGTAGCAGCTTGAAAATCATCCGTTCCCCACGTTGTTAATACCAATGGCACTTGAGATTGGCAATTCCATAATAAAATGCAAAAATAAATTAACGCATTCAACCATATCATTATTATGCCTCCAAAATTTGAAATGTAAAATTTAATTAGACTGAAAAAAAAGAATTATCTGCTTTAAAATAATAAAAACGGCTCTATTTTCTTTTACAAGTTCAAATCTAAATCAAATTTCATCCGACTTTTCCTCCGGAAAGCGCCACAAATTGAAAACAGATAAAATACAATTCTCGCAAATATTTTGTATTTTAAAAGTTATATAAAAGCGCAAGTTCTTCTACAATCAAAAAGCTTACCCTATTAATGACAAACCGGAAATAGAGTTCAGTTCAGTTAATTATTTGATCCAACAACAAATAAAATTCTGCAAGTTGTTTTTGAATTCATCTATAGAAGTAAGTTTTTAAAAACTATCGGAAATTAGAATATTTCCGGATTCACGTTTTTCTTTTTCCACTGCAACCGACCATGCAATATTCGTAATTTTTAATGTTTTGTTTGCATAAATTATCGTACATTTTAAAAATTAACCATAAGAAATTGCGCATAAAAATTTGAATAACATATAAAATCGAATGATAAAACAAATAATTAACTATTTTAGTAGACAAATAATTTAAAAAGTTTTTAAAAATTATTCTTCAATGGCTATGATTCGATGAAAGCAATCAAAATAAATTGTTGGAAAAAACAAGTCCAGTGGATAGTGTCAAATTTCCAACAAAATATATTTTTTTAAAAGTTATATTTTCAATAAAATACATTTTCTTTTTAAAAAGTCTGAAATTTTCAGTAAAAAAAATCGAACACAAATTTTTCCAATAAATATTTTGTAAACAATAAGTGTTAATAAGTGTTAATAAGTGTTAATGAAGTTATTGATCAGTGGGACAAAAAAAAAGATAACAGTAAAGAAAGTAGCTTTAGGAAATGTTTGATGGGTAAAATGGTTTATTTCAAAGAAAAAAATTAATTCGTTTTCTTTTTCTAATTTTGAAAAAAAAGAATTATCTTCAAATCATAAAAAAAATGAAAATTCACCCTAAGCTTATCAAATATTAAACAAATAATAAAAAATCAGAAAGATCATACAGGTGAATTGCAATCCATGATAAATCCCAATTTATGGTAATATGAAATTGATTGGCTATCACTTTATATCAGTCCCTACAATCGATGGTATGCAAGGGTGGCGGTACACTGACCAGAAAACAAACGGAGGTCGTTCTTATCAGTGTTTGATAAATTAACACGTTAGAAGTTTTGATTAAAGTTCAATTTCAGACGAACAGAATTTATTATTCCTGACCCTTGTAGTTCATGCCACAAATAAAAAAAAGCTCAAAGTAGCCAGTGGCCAGGAAAAGGTTAGTAATCATTGTCTTAAATGGACAGCATCGTTTGTTTCGTACATAAACATTAATTTATAGTATAACATCTCATTCGATGCAATAAAATTGATTTAAGCAAATGAATTAAACAATTGTTCCTTTGAATGGTTCGCAATTCTTAATTACACAAAAAAGAAAGAAAAATTAAACGATTTTATTTCTTCAAAATAACATCTACGCGGATTGTATTTCCTTTTGTTACATTTCGACAAATAATATCACTAATTTTATACCAAAAAAAAATTCGAAATTAAAATTAACATTCAGTTAGAAATAAATATATTTCTACGAGAATACAAATAGAAACATATGTATGTATATATATATTAATATGGCTTAATAAAGACATGGAGATTTGCTTCTTTTTTTCTTGCACATAATAAGACGATGACACACAATTTCAGAAATTTAAGGTTGACACGATGACAGCAGACGACAGATAAGTCCAGAAATGTAAGGATGAAACGATGACAGACATGTCCAGAAACTCAAGATCCTTTTTCCGGAATTCCAAACAATTAAAAACTAATCAATACAAAACCGCTAATTTCGATAGGTGAGCATTTGGATTAAAAAAAAAACAATGTGAAGGAAAAGGAAAATAAAGAATGTAGCACTGTGTAAATGTACTCTGGTTACGGACTAAAAATAGCAGTAATTTCAAATTTTTGAAGTTTTTAAAAACCAAAATTTATATGAATCTCAAAATCTGTCTCTTCAAATTCCTGCAAGAAAAAATGTTTTTAAATGGAATGATACAAGAATACATATACGATGGCATATGTGAAGTTGCAAGAGAAATGAAAATTTCAAAGGTTAGCTTTAGATCTTAAAAAACCGGACGTTTCGCTGGCAAAAATTCTGAAGCTTTTTCAAGAATTCACTTGGAAATCTCCATAAAGTTCGAGATCAGCAGCTTGCAAAAAATTTCAACGCGATCATTACAAGAAAAAGTTCCTTTCTAGAACAAATATAAGTAAAGTGTATAAGCAAACAGCAATATCATGTTCTTTTTCTTCAAATGTCATAATAAAGTAGTAAAGCATATAATACAAAAAAAAAAGAAGATGGGATGTGGTATGTGAACCATTTTGCCACTTTCCAAGATTAACACATATGAAATGTTATTAAAGATCAAAGATTGGAAGATGACAATGAGAAAAGTAAAGATTGGAAACTAGTAAGCAATTCATCAACACTGAATAAATTTCCATGTATAGTCAGAAAATGATTATGAAAAGGGAATTTCTTCAAGATCCCGAAAAACAGATACCTCCATGATGAACATAACAAAAATAAAAGTAACTTGAAAGAGTCCTAGTAAAATACTACGCAATTCACATGAATGGACGATGGGGTGGCGGTAATGCCGATTGTTGCGCTTGTCCAGCTTGAGATGGAGTTTGGCTTGGTGTCATGCCATATACCGGTGTAGCCGTTTGCTGTATTTGTGGATTATATCCCGGTTGTGCATACATACCGATTACTGGTTGTTGAGCATATATGCCTGTAACATTAAATGAAGTTGCATTGCTAGGGTTTCAAGTGAAACCCAATTAAAATGAAAATAATCCAAAGTGAAAAAATTCAAATAAGAGTAAGGCGTACATTATCGTTATATATGCTACATGATGTATCTTTTGTGCGGTTACTCTAATTTCTGAAAAGTACGTAGTTGTTTAGTTACCGACCTTAATAAACTTCTAAAACACTATCATATCTTTATGACAATTCGATTTTATTATTTCTACTTAGATTTATTTCGCCTAGAGAGGAAATATCTGCTAAAATACCTGGTTGTGGAGCATAAACACCCATTGGTGGCCACTGTTGTGGTGGAATTGCAGCGTACTGAGGTTGTGTCATTGCATGTGCTCCACCTGCAGGTCTTATACCACCTTGATTATTCCACTGAACCGGTTTCCTGGAATAAAATACTTGTCGCAGCCTTTATTTTAAACACATAGATCATAAAATAATCAAACATAATCTTTCCTCACCATTTCCATACTACAAATAATAAGTATAGGTCACGTCTGCAAACAACAATATGTTAATTATACAAAACAAATTATTCAATAGAAACAGCCAAGATCAAAGATTCAAAAGGCAAAAAGTTATAACACAAGTCAAATGCATGAAAATTTTTACCCATGATTCGTTGTGCCTTTACCGCTAACCGAGAGATTATCAGCCAGCGACGACAATGCACTATCTAAATCACTACTGTTGAATTTACCAGCCTGTGTAGTGGTAGCACATGGTGCCGCTGGCAATTGTTGTGCTCCGTATGCATTTAAATTAGCTGTACCTGAAATAAACACGCTGTTAAACAAATTAAGAAATTTACAAATTTTTTGATCATGAAAAAAGAAATATTCGAATAAACCCCATAAGAAAGAATACATTTAAAAACACATGGGAACATTAAAATAAAAAAGAATTAGCTGCAAAATTTGAACAATTGAAAAATCGAAAACTTATGAATAATCAGAATGCATTTGCACCAAATAAAATAAATCTATATGACCCTTTAAATTCTAATTAAAACAGAACAAAATTCTCAATGCAACACCACTGATGCACGTAAAATAATCATTCGTTTACCATTTATTAATTTATAAAGTTTCGTAATATTTCCATGTGCTAAAAATCTATATCTATGTGACCAGTAAATTTTCTATTTTATGAGATCAATTACACTTCGCTTCATGATATATCAGATAAAAATATAAGTACTTGGTGCCAAATCATTCTGGAATTTATAAAATAAAGAATAACAATAAAAAACAAAAAAAAACGAAAAAATAAAAAAAAACTAGAAACAACCACAACAACAATAATAATGGTAGCGATATCAGCAACAGAAATGACAATCATAACAACGACGACTACTTTATCATTATAAATTAATACCAGAAATAGCAATAACAAGAGAAAAAAAAATGCATACGTAACAATGCCTCATTAACTCTGAAGTTCAACTTTAGATCTACGACTACCTGGACCATAAAGTAGCATCGTTAGTCTTCAACTATCCCTTTTCATTCCATTTTTTTCCTTCCTCAGCATTTCATGTTATGATTAAAAAGCTCGATGACTCTTAGATTCTAGATCACGATACGATTAGACCCCCACTATTAAAAACTTTCCATTAAAGATTCTAAGGTGAAAAACACCGCCTGAGTCGGCGTGCATAACGACGTGCATAACTGTAGCAAGAAGCAAATAACATAGTTACCTCCAGGTACGTTTTGCATCCCTAAAAAACAAATTAATATTCAATACATTTGCATAAAAAATAAATAACAGACGATAGAAGTAGGTTTCAAAAAAAGTAGATTTCATGAAAAACAAAATGAAACGAATGACCGTAAAATAAACCAGCATGTGGTGCCGCTGCCTGCTGATGCAAGAGGCGTGGAATAACTGGTGATGAAGTATAACTACCATCCATACGAGCTAAAAATAACTGATTGTGTTGTAGAGCACAGAGCTTGATTTGGGATGAAAAGAAAATCAATATACCAGTCGTTTTAATTAGTCCCGATAGTTGTTTATCTGACATTTATTTGCAGATCTTTATCTAACTTGCAGCTAGAGCAACAACTTCAGCTAATAGTAATTTGCACAGAAATCAATCAAATATTATTACTGAGTAATACTAGATCGACAGACACCGTATGTTAAACCTAGTCTAAATTCTACCTAATTTTTAACTGTGATTTTAACTACATTTCTTCTTTTTTCCTTTTCCATATCAAAAAATGATCCCTAACTTAGTCTAATAAAATATAAGTGGCAGGAAATGCAGCACTTCACGATATCGCCAACTCTTCCTAAATGAGACATGCTATGGTAATTCCAAATAAACTTGTGAAACGAAAAAAATAAGTGGTATTTAAAACAAAATACAAAAAGCTAACAAAATGGAGTTTGTTCGTAAATTGTAAGATTTTGATTCGGGATAACTGTTGGTGGTGGTGGTGGTGGTGGTGGAGGTACTTGGGTTGTCATTCCAAAATGAACTGGTGATACATTTGCTTAAAGAAAAGACAGTAAAATTCCGAAATCAACATAAACATTCCTCACATAAATGCGTTTATAGAAAATTAAAAAGCAGTAAAATAATAAGAATGAAAAAATCAACGACGAGATTATGCAGAAATAAACAAACTCGACGATGCACCAGATGGTGGTGCTCCAAATGCTGGTATACTCGGTTGTTGCGGTGTTATCACGGTAGCACTAACACCTGCTGTATGCAGTGCTAGAATAAACAGAATACTGTAACAGAGAGATATCATGAACAAGTACAAATTTGCTTTCATCATTTAGGAATGACAAAAAAACTTTGAGAAAAGCTGCAAATAAACAAGGATGGAAACTGTGATTGTTGAAACATCCAAGTAACAGCTTATGTGCTGAATTCCAAAGAAATCCTACCTTGAGCATTTTGTTGCATGGCACCAAATGGATTCCGAAGTGCCGAACTGACCATCTCGCTTGGTTGCTGCGGTACATCATTACTAATATCAGTATCCGCAGCTCCAACTGCTTCATCACTCTCACTGCTTTCGCCGTTTTTACCCCACGAAGGAGCAGCAGTTGAATCACCTTCAAGATCGGATCGCAAAACTGCAGGAGTCCATTGTTGTGGTGGAACCGCATCTTGTGAAGTTTGTCGAGACCACTGTTTGTCGGTTCCTTCAGCAACTACAGGCCACTGTGGAGGCACTGCCGGTGCAGATGAATCCGCATCACTAGTCAGAAATGGATTGAATCCAACTGCAGTAGTTGATAGTCGTTTTACAAATGAAGTTTTGGATAAACGAATGAGAGTATTTTGCGGTTAACAAGAACTAAGTGAAGAAAATTTCGGAAAGACATAATATGGTTGAAAATCATGCAAAAAACAAATAAAACTAAATAAAAGGAACAGCAAGAACAGAAGTAAAAAACCGTAATATTTGAATGAAGGAACTTCATAAGCGTCGAAAAATATATTAAATTATCGACATTATCATTAAAAACGCTTCTAGCTACAACAACAATTACAACGACATATTACTAATAACAACAACAGAAACAATAAAGAACGACAATCAATAACAGAAACAGTCGTAACAATAACAATTACCAGAACTATTACCATAGTATTTACGCCAAAAAAATCAAAAAAGCTTCCAGACTACATAAAAGCAAACAATAATTAAAAAGAAAAACTGTGTAATACAACATCCAAAATTTTCAACAAGTTGTCTTGCAGTGTGCATCAAATTATCACAGCACAAGTAATTATCTAAAAAAAAATTGAATTCACATGTTCAAAAACCGGGTTATATTTTGCAGTTTGCATGCACAAACATATCAAAAAGGAGAAACACAATAAAAACTGTAAGGATGCCATTTGGATACTACGTATGTCATATATAAACATGTCTATATATACAGGTCAACGTTTTGATATATTTTTGTCATTCAGACAAAAAATATTAAGATATTTCACATAGCCGTAATCATGTGCCAAAAAATTTCTAAAAGAAAATAAAAAAATACACAAACCATTAGTTTCAGTAGTTGCAGTAGCCACTGCTCCGACATTAAAAGCGGTTGTAAAATCGGCACCAAATGCATTTGTTCGGCTTACATTTGAATATCCCGTAAAACCTAAAATGATAATAATCATGCATGCCCATGTTTCCTAATGAACTGAGAAATTTCTCAAAAAGTAAGATTTTCTTAAAATTAGATTCGGAATTTTCTGAATCCATTACAACAGCTCTATCATAGGAGGAATTTTGAAAGGAAAACTTCAAAAAAATCTTTCTGGATACAAACCGGGAGCAGGAGAATTAGCCGACATAACTGTAGCTGGCGGCTGTTGGAAAACATTTTGTGCGAATGGATTTGTTGGATCCAATGCCATTGGCTGCGGTGTGGCATTAACTGGAGCAGCAGCTCCATAACCTGAAGGAGCTGTAATTCCACCAGTTGCTGGCATAGGGTCAAAAAGGCTTAGAAGATCATCACTTGGCTTCGTAGATCGACCTGCATTGCGTGCTGATGACTGAGCAAATGGATTGAACGAATGTCCTGCTGCATCGATTCCGGATGAACCTGCTACTGCTTGCCTTTTTCGCTGCTCCTGCAAAGAAAATTGGTTTGGTTGATAAAACTAAACGATGTATATAACCAAAATTCGAATTCCCTTTGTCCTTCCATAACCTAATATCTAGGTCAGATATTAGATCTCAGAATACGAGCAAATCTTAGCCCAGAGTAACAGTGAGAGAGAAAAACCATGTCCGGGATGTCTGCGAAACATCGATTGCCTTCCTTAATGATGAATATTTCGACTATCCCCAAATATTTACACCTTATCTGAATAGCTCAAAATTGATTGGAATTGGAACGATCTACAAATTTGAGTGCATCGAACCTACTGAGTTTTTTTTTTTTTTTTGAACTCTAATATTCTGATTATATTAGAGTTTTAACTTTGTGCAATAAATTTGTTTATGAACAACTATAAAGCTGATTGGAGAAATTTCTTTCAAAGATAACAGACAATAAATATGAACAGTATTATGGATAAAACCTTGCGACATGTTGATCGATAGAGATAAAGCCAGATAATTGACAAATTTCAAAGGCAACATATGCAGCAACAATCATATGTTACGAAGATCCCCAAAAGCGAATGGTCTTTATTCTATTTTGATTTTTCTATATCGATTTACTGATTAAAATTAGAAATACTAATGCGATAGTCTAAAACAGCTGGAAAGATGTGCAAAGAGATGATCCTAGCTGGTCAGTCCATTACCTCATCGTAGAGTTTGTTCGAAAGACTGTGAAAAATAAGACTTTTTGAAAAAGTCGACAAATAAACCTCAAACAATCGTAATCGTTCCTTTTCCTCTTCTAAATATTTTTGTTTTGCTGAATCATCAATTACTCCTGTTTGTGCGGAAGAAAATAATGGCGCTGATTGTGCCATAGCTGCAGTAAACTGATCCTGAAAAAAAGAATGAAACCATCACAAAATTTATGAATGCAGAGATTTGGATGTCTAACATTTTTTTTATAATTCCTAAAACTACAAAGAGAGAACAAATTTGGTTTTCGATCATAATACTCGAGTAAGTGGACATGCAAACTTATTAAAAAACTTCGATAAAATCCAAATATCTGAACAGACAAAACGGAAGATACAGTAATAAAAATAAAAATGTATATAGAAGAACAATGAGATAAAAGAAATAATAAATTTACATGATGGACTGTAAGAGGTGCTCTGCCGCCTTCTAGATAAACTAGATGTGCTTCCAATGCTTCCAATAATGAAGCTGGTGCCCGCGTTAAATCTGGTATTTCAGTACGATCAATGCCCACAGATTCGGCTACTTTCAGAAAATTTGCTACTTTATCCAACCTTAGCTGAAAAGTAGTAATTATATATGCTTTTTTTTTTGAAAAGATATCAAATCATGATTACTTTGGTCTTTTTTGCCAAAGGAAATTAGTTGTTAAAGAAGTATTATATTTCCAAATACTAACATCAAAAAAAAACATTAATAATGTTACGCATTTAGTACAGCATATTTTCTGCTGAAAGCACACAAAATATGCACTGACTTGACAGGATGCTAAAAGTTACACTATTCTAGTTGATTTTATTTTTCTGCTAAGCTGCCAATTAAACTGCTTGAATAACAAACAGAATTTTTGACTTCCGAGTCCGGTACATATCCTCCAGCATATTTTAATAACATTGTTATTGCCGTATCACGATAAATGGTACAGAAATATAATATAATTTAAAATAAAAGTCTAATGATACACTGACCAGGTATCAATCATTTCTTACTAGACTAGATAATTATTTGGTTTCAGGATCATTTGTTATGTTTGGAAAAATAAGTAGGATAAGACTTTAAAAAAGTGAAAGTAATTTGATAGCTGAATAGATCGATACACAAATTAACATCGAAATAAAATTAAGAAGCATCTCTGTTGTTCAAGACCGTTTTTTTTCGAATTTTCGGGGAAATTATATTAAAAGAAACTAATTAATATTACCAGGAATGATTTGTACGTATCCAATGCTTCACGACATTGCTTCTTATTCATATCGAAATATTTTTCAAGCAAATTAATGATACCATCATTATAACAAGCAAATAACCGAATGAGATCACGAAAGAGAAGAATGAAAGAACAATTGATGACACCGTTATTTAATTCCGCCGAAGTTATCTGAAATTAGAAAAATTTTCATTATATCAAACATTTAATTCGAATTTTTAACCACAGCAATTATGGCTGACGAATAAAAAAAAAGTCATTTGTTAAACCTCTCAAGTACGACATTTATAACACTTCCAACTGATAATTGCTCTTTTCTAGTCCACTATGAAAAGCTCAAAATAGGTAAATAAGTAAATCTATAAGTGAATAAGTGAGTATCTCATCAGGTGGTCAAGTTAAAATACAAATAAGCAAATATATAATTCAAGTAGTTAAGTAATCACTATTTTTCTTTAACTCTCCTTAGCCTATCTGTATTAAACACGTTGTATACACGCTGCGCATAATGCAACCCTTTTTATTTGTTTGTTACCTGTTCCCATCTTCACTATTAATTCGCACCATACATATGTTTATATTTAGTGATTTTTACTGCAACTTTGCTCATCAACTTTTATTATCTTTGATAGAAAATGGTGCGGTATTAAGATATAACACAGCACAGCATATGTTTCAGTGCATTGGAAGATTTTTTCCTTTCTTTTGCACTTACAATGATGGATAACGCTATTTCTCTGAGTTCTAACAGTAAAAAATGTTGCCGAAATGTGGAAGTTATGTAGATCGGTTATGTAATGGGTAACTTTGTCAAATATTACTTTCTTAATCAGATAACTTTATCATTTGTCATACCACTTAGTTATTTACATACTACTCATGCAATACCATATCAGTGATAATAAAAGGTTTATCAAGACGCCGGAAGATTAAAAAATATTTCATGTGCCAATTTAGAGGCTGAAAAAAAAACCCTCAGTTAACATATGATATTTGTTAATCTCCCGATATCTTTCATGATAAGCGTTTATTATCATTCGCATCGCACTAAACGAGCAATGTGAAATAAATCTGGTCCCGAAAAACAGACTAGTTAATGTTACGAAAAAAACAAGTCAAAGGTAAGAATTCTAAGAAAAAAAAAAAGAATATTTACTTGGAATTCGAGAAGAGCATCGATCTGGTTTTGCAAAATTGGCAATGTTTTCAATAACTGAAATTCAAAAATGATGCGAATTTCATAAAATCAGCAGCATTATGCAAAGATAAGGTATAAGTTTCTTAGAGCTCTCAATTTATTTCAATTCCATTCGCATCGTTTAAATTCTGCTCAATTTAGTTCAACAAAAATATTATACCTTATCTGCATTCATTGTTCGCAGAAGGCCATCTTCACGACCACGTTTTATTTTGCAAAAATCAAACGCACATAACCGATATGTATAGATCTTTTCACTGATATACTTCCCATAACGTCGAACATGTTGCGACATATCATATCCTGCAATGGAATTTCTTCATTGATTTGGAAAACGTAAAGAGATTTAACTGAAGCAGTGTGAAAAGTTAATTTCTATTTAGAAATTAAAGACAGCTAAGTCACACATCAAATTACCTGCACCCACGAACTCGGGCTGTTAAGGAATAACATTTGGAATTCAAATTATACTCTATTTTTCTGCTTTATTTATGAGAGTGAAACTTTCGGGAAATTCTGAACTTGAATGAGCGCCAAAAAATTATTTCCAAATGACAAAGAATGCAGTTCCCAAAATGGACTTTCAAAATCAAAACTGTCCTTGGACTTATCTATACTTCAGACCTTTTCAAAATCATCCACTACAATGCTCATTTCTCATTCTCTAATAATCCTTTCCAGCTCAGCGCTTACTATCCTTAATACCCGAGTAATATGGACGAGATAATTTAATTTCATCTTGACTCAGTGTTATTTGACGTAATTAAAAGCATAAACAAAATGCGTCGTTAACTACTTTTACATCGCTTTTGCTCTATAAATCAGTCATTTCCCTAATTACCATAGTTGCATTAACGACTTTCTAATTATTAACAGTAATGTATTCGCCAAATATATAAACTGAGCTAGTCCACGATACCAAATTTACTATGTTAATTGCCCTATGCCATTTCGTTTAATTCATTTCTTGATTAGGATTTCGTGACACTCCATTTTTTTCAATAAACACGATGAAATTATTTAAGAAACTATGTGTGAGATAAAAAAAAATGATGCCCAGTGGACGAGTGAAATGATAAAAGGGATTGATATGTTATGTTAACAAATGCTAGAAAGCTTTATGTAAGAAAGATTGTATCGAAAAAAAGGTTGTGCGGGCAAAAATTCGAAAAAAAAAATGCTGCGAAGTATATTTGCCCGTGCATGATTAGATTAGAGGTAGTATCAGTCCAGAAAACAAAGATAAATTTATGGATGATTCATTTACCAACAACAACCGAATCCAGGGATGCCCAATGTTTCGTTGCTGAACGCGTATAATCCACGGGTGAATGACCTGACGTGTTCTTTAACTTTAAATTCAATACATGAAATTTTCTGTTTAATCAGAAAGATAGATAAGAGTGCTAAGAGGAGGAAATGTCAAAATAAAAGTAAGGCAACAAATGTGAAGAGTTGCCGATAAAAATATATGGTGCGGAGAAAAAAAAAGAAAATTACTTGAAAACAGAACGCTTTCATGTAGGAAGTTTACGCAGTTCAAACTATGTTCATATGGAAGTCTACATCAACATAGAATTAAAAATGAAAAATTTTAACGGAAATATCAAATTCTGATAGCATTTTGTTGAATACATTAGCAGAAAGAAGTCACGTTTCTCGACTGATGATGAGGAGATCGCACGTTACACAAGATCACAGATCGGTTTTTTCACACTGTTCATCAACTGTATACCGTTCCATTTCATCCATTTCTGCTGAATAGAATATCGACATACATTCATTAGAATACTTACCTTGAGCGGAATTTTTGTCCAAAAAACTGCCCAGATTGAACGTCGTATTACAGGATGCAAGATACTGCGAAAATCGCTGGAAAAAGGCTCAAAATAATTTCGCTGCCATAATTATTTCGATGAGTTAAAAATAGAACATCGAGATTACCAACAGATCTTAAGTATGCTTCAAAAGCAAGTAATAAAGTACGGGTAATACTACATCTAACGTAATACTACATTTCGGAAATCAAACTAGAACTTATGCATTTTGTAATTCAAATTATCAGCATAAAAACTCAAAAAGAAAGACCAGAGTAAATCCAACAGAATTCCAAAATTCTCATTTACCACTTAAAAATGAAAATACACATTCAATTGTAATTTAACAAAGTCAATTCATATGTCTTATTTTATCATCCACCAATTGAATATGCAAAAACAATCTTTTAATAAATAATCTTTTTAAAAAAGCAACTTAATGCTTTCAAAAAATGCGTGAAACATCCACAAAATCAAGTCAATTCTGATGAAGCCACAAAAGAAATTACTTCATTTCCGTAACACATTATGTTGTGAATAGTAATAAGCGCTTTATAAACAACCGTCCAATTAAGATTTTGGGTTCGTTCAATCAATAAATTCGCCATCGATGGGATGGAAACATTTGGCTCCTGCGTACAATGTAATAAGTCTGTAAAGAGCAATCGATAGAATTGAAGACTTGAATGAAAAATACGTGAAATATTTCAAAATATGAAAGAAAAATATGAAAGTAGTGAAAGGATCGCAGTAATTTAAAATATAAAAGATAACTTTTATATTTCAAATTACTGAGAACTATCCGATCCTTTCGTCCAGCAATTATTTGATTACATGTGTGATATGATCAAATTTCGATACCTCAAAAAGCCACATGAAGATATTGAAACCATTCGTTTTATCCAAAATTCTTCAGAAACTACTTCACACAAAATTTTTTAGGTAATATAGGAAAGGATAAGAGATGCACCATAAATAGATTAAAAGATGCACCGTAAATAGATTAAACTGTCCGCGTCTTCACACTGATACATTTAAGAAATTGATTATTTTTTCCTAATCTTAATCATCTGGATTTAATTGATTTGAACAAGTTATATTAATTTTAATACTAAATACCCGTCTAAATAAATCTCTTAGAAGAAAGATTTCTAGCCCTGAAATCATAGCAGATCAAAAATCGCATCCAAATTCTAATTTCTTTTTCTGCTGTATTCCAATTCTTTTCCAAATTAATTTAAACCCATATATCACAACGTAGTGTAAAAAACTTACAATCCAAATGCTTCCTTTTTGGTGCCATTAATTCTTCGGTTGTAGCTTTACAAATTGTTTTACCTAACTGGCTACCAGCTAAGGAATGTTTTGCAGCCGTAAGTCGATCAGTAATTGTTTGTCCACCCGTTGTAAATGGCAGTGGTTGATGTAATGCTTTCTCGATAGTTTGCATCTTCCTTTATTTATTTTGTGTTATTAGAATGAAGTGAAAAATAATGAACGAAAAATTTTCACAACGACCTGAAAATAAGTAACATAAAAGTATGATGTAAAGTAATTATTTATAAAATCGGGGGTGATATATGTGAAGCAATTTGAAAACTTTAAAATCCAATATTTCATTCTAGAAGCATGCATGTTTAAAATATGAAGTGTTATAAACAACAGAACTATGAAAAGCATGAGGAAGTAAAAATTCAACAAAACAATGTTTGAAAAAGTAAAAAAAAAAGCAAATATTAAAAAATTTCACTACAGATCAAACATTATACCAAACGTTAATTAGCAACGTAAAAAAAAAAAGTAAGATGAAAATAAAATATTTGACGTGGAAATAATGTAAGCTTAAAAATCATGTAAACTGACGCAAAATCTGAATAATTCTATAATTCCCACATTTTTACGTTGCTAATTATTTATCTGCGATTACTTCTGCGATTACTTATTACAGCCTAATAGAAACCAATTACTGATTTATCACAAAACTGAAAATAAACCAAAATTGCAGACAAAAATTGGAAATGAATAAAGAAACACG